GTTCAGCAAGCAGCTCCTCTGCACATCCCTCACCTTCTCTCGCTCTTTACTTGCTTCCCCCTCAAGGAATTCACTACAGGGCTTACGTAAAAATCAACGTATGAAAGAAATCTGAGTTGTTCACTACCAGACTCGTCAAAGGATGGAAACGGCTGAGGCCTCAGATCTCTATGAAGCTCGATTAAAAGACTAAAAATATGCCAGAAGGGTGAATCGGGGTAAAATCACGGGGAAAAGATCTGAATACGACTCCCAGGCCTATTTTCATAAAACTTCCCGAAGATGAGCTGATTTAGGATCTTACTTAAGATGACCTTACAGATATGAACAGATCCTAGATCAGCACTCTACTCTCAGAAGCCTTATGAACAGACTGGGACACACTCTGACAAGAGGTGCACGGACTGCCTGATGCATATTGGACACTTAGATGGCCACAGCTCTCAGAATCTCAGTGTTTCTGCACTTAAGAGAGAAGAGAAAATCCTTTTTCAAGCGAATTGCTCACTAGTCACCAAGTAAACAAGTGGCTGTTTGCTCTGTTGTCCACCAGAAAAATGAACCTTTTAAAGGTTCACAGCATCATGTGTTACCAGTCGTAGCTAAAAGCGTTTTGTACCCAGACTGTCTGGTGTGAGCTGCACACTAAAACCACAGTAAATTTAAGCTTAGCTCTGGCGGAGAACTTGTAGAGAGGAGAACTACCACTCTGTAATGTCTTCTGGGCTTCTCAAACACTAGAGGGCGCTCCCGAGCGAGTCCAAAATGAATGGGTTGATATGGATCATCTGAGTTTATAAATGTTAAACATTTTTAATATAAAATAATACAATAATTTCCTGAACACAGAGCAGCATAAAACATTTTAACACCGCTGTTATATTTTTAAGAGCTTTTAAACCCGAGTTATAGGAGTTTAAAACGGCGCATCATGTGGGTCCGTGACGTCAGTGAGCGCGAACAGCCAATGAGCTGCTCCGCTCGCCAATCAATCATCACGCTCTAGCAGTAAGGCCCGCCTCCTGCTGCCCAAAACCCGTTTACTGTAGAAAAAAGGTAAGATTTCTGTTTTTTTTAGTGAAATCCATCCTTCTACTTCCTAAAACTAAAGGAAAGTTCTGGTTCAGTTATTAGCCGTTGAGCTCCATTAACCCCCATTCGTTGAGGACTCACTCGCAGGCGCCCTCTGCTGTTTAGCGGTCCTGTTTTTGATATAATGGGGGAAATAGGAAGAGGCCAGGCTCCTCATAAACCGGCTCTGGCTCTGGCTTTATTAGTCCGAAGGGAAACACTGTCTCAATTATCAAGCGAAATATTAGAAGCAAAGCAAGCAGTGATCATCTCTGCCCATCAGTGACCCCTCAGAGAGAGAAACTGTTGCCAAAACAGAAAACATTCACGCTGTTATACTTTATGGAATCGCTGTTTTCCTGTGAACATGCTGCACCAGCCTGTGGTCACTTTGCATGTCAGTGAAACGGCCTTTCACCATCAAACACTGATTCTCTGAAAACGTACCCGATACAGGCTTACAGACTGTTTCAGTGCAGTCTTGCACAGCTTGCAGTGGAACTGGTTTCCTCTTGTGCCGTATTTAAAGTAGTCTGGGCTTTGTGTTCAGGAGAAAAACTTCAGTACTTCAGGCACTCCAGGTGCCTCCCACAGCGCCAACTAGTGGATTTATTCCACTGTAGTCTATGCAACCTGTTGCTCCCACACGTCAGGCTAGCTCAGGGGTCTTCAACACGCGGCTCTTTTACTGCCCTGGTGTGGCTCCACAGCAGAATTAGACTTGCAGGTAAAAATAAAATAATCTTCCTTTACAGTAAAATAAAGCTCTGCTGATCGTTCAACACAGTTTATCAATAAATGGTCTTAAATGCTGGAGTTAATGTAGAACTGCTAATTCACCCTTTAACCCTGAAGGTTGGCGTGCAGACTGCTGGTCACCATAGCAACACAGATAACAATCTCGCCTAGCTAGCAGCTAACGAAACGGCAAAGAGAACGATTTAAGACGGACGTCAATGATTTGAAGACGAATGGACTTATTTGCATTTATAATCACTCCAGCTGGTTTCCTGATACGTTAAATCTGCAGTGAGAAACTGTCAAACACTAAAGTCACAAAGCTGAAGTCGCTTCTCATTCACCAGCTTCTTGTTCTGATTTTCCCGTTCCACCTTAAATGGTGCAGCAATACATTCTGGTGCCTCAGGCAGCATTTAAGGTGGAACGCGAAAATCAGAACAACAAGCGGGTGAATGAGACGCGACTTCAGCCTCGTAAAAAAACGAACGTTGAGACATTTTACAAGAAACTTTTCTACTTTTGTGGAAAAGTTTCCTGCCAGAGATGCGAGAAAAGTGACTATAGCTGAGCCAAAGCTTAAAGCAGAGCAAAGTAAGTCTGTTTTCATTTATCTTTTTTAGCCCATACTACAGGGCGATTCACTTGAAAGAGGCCCCGAATATTCTGTAATAACTCTATCTAGGACGAAGCAATCTGAACTAAACAACGTGCAATGAGCTCCTCAATGTATGGAGCTTCGAACAAGCCGGGATGCCCCTGCGTCGGACCGATGAGGTAGACGCCGGACAGCTATCGCGGCGTTTAACCTCCGTTTGCAACTTCCGGGTGCAGACCCCCGTACCCCTTCACTCAGTCAACTCAACTCATCAGGATGGCGGTGTACAGTATTGAGCAGCACGTCTTCATGGTGCGAACCTATTGGGTCACCAATTCGTTTAAGCAACGTCAGAGTGAATTTATTGATCCCATCTCAGGGCCGTCCGAAAATGTAATCGATTACACATACGTCAAGTTATGTAGCATATTTTTTTTGGTTCAGGTTGCTTCATCCTAACGGGAGTTGCAACAGAATATTCGGGGGAGTGAATCTCGAAGCACATACTGAGACACATTTACAGCCAAGATGGTAAAATGGATATAAAATATTGTGGCTTCCAAGCTGGTTTGATTTGTGTTGAAAGGACAAAATGGCTCTTCTTGTGGTTTTTGCGCTAGAAGCTGAAGTCAGCTCCCTATCTGCCTGCTTCTCCCCAGATAGCAAAATGTATCCGGCACGGATCCGGACCAGATCCTTCATAAAATCCGGACCGGATCCGTAAAACAGATCTGGTCCAGATATTATCCTTAAATAATAACAGGGCAATAATAAGACATATATAAATACAATAAGGCATTAAATATTAATAATTATTGATTAATAATGAAAAACATACATATTTAAACTATAAATATCCTCACCGTTCAAAGAAAAACGTACTGCAAATAAAACAAACAAAACATTCTCTTTACAGTAATCATGAAATTGGAGCACAAGAACAGTTGCCAGTGTAGAAAAATAAAAATCAATAAAAATGGAGATTCTCACACACACGCGCGCACACGCACACTAATTGATTCCATTATGTATTAAAGAAATCTGATTCAAATGTATTAGTGAATATAGCATTTTATGGTGTAAAATATATTACACCAATTCAATATGGAACAAATACAATGAACCAATATTACAACATCCATACTTAGCTAATTTTGTATATTTTAAAAGTATTCCAAACAATGTAAAATGATAAAAATAGGTAACACTTTATAATAATGAACTTTAATAAATATTAACTGACCATGAATAGCTGTAAACAGATCATTACTTTATCAGAATTTGTAAACATTTATAAACACTGTACATGCTGTTCATGTACAACAAACCCTTTCACTAATAAATAATGAGTTGCTCAGCATCTGTTCACATACAAATCATTGCAGCAAATTACTGAAATGCAGAACTTTATAACAGATAAGCTTTACATTTTGTCCAGCATGTATATACATTATATTTCCAAAAGTATTCGCTCGTCTGCCTTCACACGCATATGAACTTGAGTGACATCCCATTCTTAATCCATAGGGTTTAATATGATGTCGGCTATAACAGCTTCAACTCTTCTGGGAAGGCTTTCCACAAGGTTTAGGAGTGTTTATGGGAATTTTTGACCATTCTTCCGCATTTGTGAGGTCAGACACTGATGTTGGACGAGAAGAACTGGCTTGCAGTCTCCGCTCTAATTCATCACAAAGGTGTTCTATCGGGTTGAGGTCAGGACTCTGTGCAGGCCAGTCAGGTTCTTCCACACCAAACTCGCTCATCCATGTCTTTATGGACCTTGCTTTGTGCACTGGTGCGCAGTCATGGTGGAACAGGAAGGGGCCGTCCTCAAACTGTTCCCACAAAGTTGGGAGCATGAATTTGTCCAAAATCTCTTGGTGCTGAAGCATTAAGAGTTCCTTTCACTGGAACTAAGGGGCCGAGCCCAACTCCTGAAAAACAACCCCACACCATAATCCCCCTCCACCAAACTTTACACTCGGCACAATGCAGTCAGACAAGTACCGTTCTCCTGGCAACCGCCAAACCCAGACTCGTCCATGGGATTGCCAGACGGAGAAGCGTGATTCGTCACTCCAGAGAACACGTCTCCACTGCTCTAGAGTCCAGTGGCGGCGCTTTACACCACTGCATTCGACGCTTTGCATTGCGCTTGGTGATGTAAGGCTTGGATGCAGCTGCTCGGCCATGGAAACCCATTCCATGAAGCTCTCTACGCTGTTCTTGAGCTAATCTGAAGGCCACATGAGGTTTGGAGGTCTGTAGTGATTGACTCTGCAGAAAGTTGGTGACCTCTGTGCGCTATGTGCCTCAGCATCCGCTGACCCCGCTCTGTCATTTTACGTGGCCTACCACTTCGTGGCTGAGTTGCTGTCATTCCCAATTGCTTCCACTTTGTTATAACACCACTGACAGTTGATTGTGGAAGGCCACATAAAATGACAGAGTACTGAGAATGATCCACCTGCTCTGTGAGGGTCCATGGGGGTCCTGACCACTGAAGAACAGGGTAAAAGGGTGCTAACAAAGTATCAGAGAAACAGATGGACTACAGTCTGTAACTGTAGAACTACAAAGTGCACCTATATAGTAAGTGGAGCTGATAAAATGGACAATGAGCGTAGAAACATGGAGATGGTCATAATGTTATGCCTGATCAGTGTATGTGTTAGAACAGGGCAAGTATAATACTGTGCAGAGAAGAGGGTCCCTGGGACTGCACACATTCTGTGTTTACATCTTACGTCTTGTACACTAAAATTGTTGTAGTTCAGAATTAGTCCTTTGCATATGGTTTATTTAGATTTGGGTTGATGGGTTATACAAAATGACTTAGTGACTATCAGATACTATGACAAAGACTGACTGCATCAACTACATCAACTGCATGCTACTGTGAAACAGGATATCAAATGTGAAACAGGATAAAACTTCACTTCACTGGGTGTGGGGAACAACCTCTTGTGTAAACTATTTATTGCCATTTCATCATCAGGACCATCATATGGAGTGTCCAAAATTAATAATTTGTCCTGTGTGCTTTATTTTCTTAACAACAGGTAATCTGGTCATAAAACTGCATCACAGTGAGGTTATTGGTAACCACGTCATTGTTAAGGTGAGAGTAATATAATTTTTACACGACTATTTTAAGTTTCACCTCAGAGTAGTTTGCAGTTCCAAAGGGCGTTTGCCATGATGCTCCATTTTTGTGTTCGCAGTGACAAATGCAAGTAAAATACATATGCAGAAATTTGTAGACACATGGTTGTCCAATGTTTATTTTGAAATTAGTGGTATTAATAGGGAGCTTGTTCCAGCCTTCGCTGCAATATCAGCCTCTACTCTTCTGGGAAAGGCTTCACAGATGACGGAACATTGCTGTGAAGATTTGTTTGCGTTCAGCCACAAGTGAATTAGCATTAGTTGGATCACTCCAACTCATCCCAGAGATATTCAGGGGTGGTGCTGGGCCTGTCGCAAGAACAACAAATCACCTAATCTCAATTATTTGAGAAGATCTCAGTTTTTTTAGATGACTTAAATAATTTGCCACAATAATTAGATTTCATAGTCAAATTATGCTGCAACTAACAAAATTTGAATTGGTTGTAAAGGTTCGAGGTGTATACGCTTAAATTAACAGAAGCAGTAATGCAGGCGTGTCCAGTCTTACTTGCAAAGGGCTGGTGTGGCTGCACGTTTTCATTGCAACAAAGAAAGAGCTCACATGATCAGTTGTTTAAAGACAGAGACTGACTGATTAAACTATTAGAATCAGGTGTCTTCCTCTTGTTTGGAACAAAAACCTGCACCCACTCTGGCCCTTTGTGGATAACATTGGGACGCTTATAGCAAAAAGAAAGTATCCACTCTCCCTAAATTGCATGGAGTGCTAACCTACAATCTCAAAGGAAGAACCAAGCAAAATTGAGACTGGAAGGTGGGACTTTTCCTAAACTTTCAAGATTTTTTTTTAGTTGAGCTCAGTAATCCAGTAAAAATGATTTACTGCAATAAACATACTACGCAGCAGTGCATGTACACCATATTTTAACGTTTTAATTTCCATCCTGACTCAATAATGCTACTTCTTCTAATTTTAACAAAACAGTCATACCTAGTGCAGTTTTAAATAAAGTAAAAGTTTAAAGCTATTATGGTTTACAAATGCCCGGCTTGTGACAGGCACCTTTACTAAACATTTTGTTAATGTCACACCAGAGAACACATTTTTACAGCCAATGCTTGAAAAATTAGGTATACAAGTATGTAATTTTATGTGAATATAAGAAAAAATTGCAACTGAAATTTGAGCTTAAATTTTTTATCTGCACTGATGATAAATGTCAGTAAAAGATGCCTGATCTTTGACTTAAAATATTTCTCCATTTTGTTTTTTTGTGGCATCTATCTTTGTAATTCTAGATTTCTACATGTTCCTGTTAACTGAATTCCTGAGCACCAAAACAGTGGCAGTGGTGCCCAAAAGCTGGTATGCTGATGGGGTCACCTATTGGCCAAATTACAAAAGTGAACATTAGAATAAAATTAAACAGTAAAAAAAATTGTATTAAGAATTACAAGACTTTCTTTTAAAAAAATCTTGCGAGCTACTTTGAATAACCTAGGTTTGGTTCCTGACTTCTGCTCTCCAGCCATTGCATAGATTTGTTTCAGTCCCTCCACAGACCTAATTTTTTTTATCATTTTGTACTTGTACTACACTTGTTCTATCTATCTATCTATCTATTGTTCTATCTATCCATTCTATAATTCTCTATCTATCTATCTGTCTATTGTGCAGCAGCAGATCAGCTATTGTCTCTGACTTTACATCTACAAGGTGGCCTGACAAGGTAGGAGTGTGTGATAGAGTGGACAGTGAGTGGACACAGTGTTTAAAAACTCCAGCAGCACTGCTGTGTCTGATCCACTCTGACCAGCGCAACACACACTAACACACCACCACCACATCAGTGTCACTGCAGTGTTGAGAATGATCCACCACCCAAATAATACCTGCTCTGTGAGGGTCCATGGGGTCCTGACCACTGAAGAACAGGGTAAAAGTATGCAGAGAAACAGATGGACTACAGTCTGTAATTGTAGAACTACAAAGTGCACCTATATAGTAAGTGGAGCTGATAAAATGGACAATGAGCATAGAAAATGTTATGCCTGATCAGTGTACGTTCAGAAAATTCAACACACACACACACACACACACACACACACAAAAAAAAACACCTATCAAACAACACGTTATGTGTGAAATAAAGGTATGGCCACAAATCCACCTCTATGAGGCAAAGCAGCACATTTCTGTACAAGCTCAGAGACCTTGGCACATTTGAGAAAATCTGATGTGTGGGAAATTGTATAGATATTTAAAAAGTCTGAGCTGAATGGATAGGTGAAGAAACAAGACTTCTCTGAAAATACTTTGTACACTACATACACTCCATCACTACATTCTACAATGTTATGTATTAGACAAATATCTTCTCCAATCATAAATACATTATTTCCTGTAGATACTTTTATAGTCCATTTTTCACACTGCATTTCACCATACTGTGCTTTCACTGACAAACCATTTGTGATCGGTCCAACAAAGTGTGGCTTTTTCAAAGTGGACACTTTTGAAACAGTGTCACTGATTTGTACCTCTGACACTCTACGAATTACTTGGGCAAGAGGAAAATCTGGTTTTCTGACTAGCCTTTTCAATTTCTGTAGGTAGTTCTCAAACGGAAATGCAGATACTGTATCAAGGCAGCCATGCAGCTCTACGTCATGTGACAGATGTACCAATCCATGTACATTATAAACTATTTGGTCTTTGCCATATATCTCACCAAAGTGACTAACAAAAGATACCAGCAGTTTGTGAGCATATCGGCTATGACATGACAATCTAGAGCTTACTAGAATGGCAATACCAGAGAAAAGCAGCATAAAATTAGTGTACATACCTTTGTCAAGAAAGGAAGCTAGAATGACAGGGCCTGTGTAGAGCAAAAACTCTCTGAATTCAGTAGCCTTCCAACGATCTATTTCTCTCAGAGATCTAGGCTTTCTGGCAAACTCAACTGGTATATGTGGACGCATCTCTAACAGACGAGCTGACATTCTTTCAACTACCTTTGCAGGGGACACGGAACTGTAGAGGACCCCTGAGCCAGATGTTTAGTAAACGTCTGACAACACCCAAACAGACGCAATGCATGTAATCAACAGGAAACTGTGAAACCATGCCAACGCTGCAACCGTGGAACGGATGTGGTCCTTCATGATGATGATTTTCATCAAGCATTTTTTCAAATGATTCATCCGTCCTTAAAGCAGAGGTTGTACAAGGGTATGTCATACGGCCATTAGTATAAAACCCAGGTTGTGTACATTTATCACAACCATAGTAGCCATTGTAACTCTTTGTGTTTTTAACAAAGGCTCTGGCTGGTGTGTCACAAATTACTGTGTCCAACTTCAGCTTTAGCTTTTTACCATTCAAATCAAAACCCTGCTCAAGGTCTCGTAGCTCACTGACAAAATCTTTAAGAAATTCCCTAGCTGAGTCAGGTTTTCTTGTGCCACAAAACAAACCTATCAATGCTGGCTCTTTCATGGGAACACTGACTAGCAGCCCAAGGATAGGCCACAGCTGCATGCCAGAACTCTTAAACAAAGGAAGTCCATCTATATTTATTTGCAACTTTAACATGAAATTATCAGCAAGAGTGTGTATGGTCTGAGAAAGTGTATTTTTAAGCGATGACAGAATCCCAAAATGGTGGTACTGTCCCCCTGCCCTTTCCACAATAGTGTAATTTGTTTTGGTCTTAAGGAGGGTCCTTGCATCCTTTGGAAGATCAAAATGGTACACACGAAGTATGCTTAGCAGTGCTGTCAAGGCAACTAGAGAAATGCCAAACTGTACAGCCCAGCTAGCGATAGTGTCAGAGAGAGAACTTGACTCATGGAAGGTTTCATCACCAGAACTGTGTTCTGAATTAGACCTCTCTTTTGGCCAGGCTACTCCACCCAAAAGAGAACCTACAGAAGGCTCTAAATCTATGCCCATGTCCTCTTCCCCTTCACTTTCTGTGACTGGAGTTGGACTTTCTGGTTCCCCAATAACCGTTCCAAGGTCTCTCTCTACACTTGGTCCACAGTCAACAGTGAAGTTTTTACAGTCATCCCTAATTTGTCCAAGACGTCTATTTAGGTCTACATGGACTCTCCGTCTTATAGCTGAACTGGAGATTGGACCAGACTTTCTATTCATTTTGTCTAAAAAGGACAATTTCACAGACACACAAAACAGATACAATATGAATCTATGAGGCATGAATTTGAAAAAGACAACAACTTATAGTTATGTATTTAAGTCTCACTTACTCTGTAAAATGTAACTCTGCATGATTAAATTATTTTAGGTAAATTTAACAGCACAGACTGGTCAAAGTTCGAAAAGAGTCACTGCAGCAGTTTTGCCACAGTCTTTTATTTTTTCAAAAATTGGGGAAATCCAATTTTGGATGTTATTAAAATATACACAGTTAACACTACAAACCCAATTCCAAGAATGGGGGACAGTAGGTAAAACACAAATAAAAACAAAGTATCAATTTTTAAATATTTTTATGATATTTAATTTAAAACAGATGATACAGATCTTTAACATTTTTACTCCAATAAACTATATAAACTTTATTGATTTTTGCAAGCATACATTGTTTAAAAAAGTTGGGACAGGGGCAATATGAGATAAGGAAGTTTGTGTAAACATGCCCCTGTCCCAACTTTTTGGAACATGTTCAATGCATCAGATTTAGAATAAGCCTATATTTTTAAAAATACTGAGTAGGAAATTAAATCTTATCCTTACACTGTTTTTAAAACGAATACAGGTCTCAAAAGAACTGCACATCATTGCTGTGTTTTTATTACTGTCCCAATGTTTTTAGAATTGGCCTGTTGCTCAACAGACCTACTAGGTTAAGGGTTCCCATTAAGCTGATGTACCTTTTCATTCCCAATCCAAATTTCAGGACTTTCTATCACAAAAATTCTATTTAACATTCTGTAAACAAAAAAATTAAGACGTACTTTGTCACATCTTAAATACTGTTCATTTGTATCATTATCTTTTTATGTATGCCTTTGAATGAAATAATTAAAATACTACTAAAATACTATAAGATAATAAAAAACATTATTAAAAAATAGGATTTTCCTACAGTTATATATTTCTCAATTTATTTATTTATTTATTATTTATTTTGTTTTATTAATACAATTTCTGTACCTATAGTTTTAACAATTGTTCACTTTATTCATTTATTCATTCACATATTCATGTATTTTTTTATTTTTTTATTAATTCATTTTTTTCATTAATACATTTATTTATTTCTGTATTTCTTCATTCATGGGGGGCATGTTTTTCATGTTCCGGTTTAGCAATCAAGACCAGGAGGATAAGAGTTGATTAAACTGTTCTTTCACCAACTCCATAAAGAGCTGCAATGCCACAGACAGACAAACCTGCCGATAAATAACTCTCAATGGCTTCCACAGGCCGTATGTAAGAAGGTGTGATCTGAATTTTGCTAAAAAGACAATGAACCACCTCCTCCGAAATTCTGAACACTACAGGTCGACCTCCGTATCAGCAGATGAGCTAAATGGAGCAAACTGTCCCCACAGCCTCCGCTCAAAAGAGTCAGTAATCCGGACCTTAATTTTCAGCCAGATCAGCCAGAAGTCTCGGATGTCTGTCTGTCTGCTGCCTGTAAGAAGCCATCATTGTACTGTCTTGTCCTTGGTTACCACTAAGAGAGCAAGACATATACAATCGATCTACAGAATCTGACATTGAGACCAATGGGAATATTAACACGCTGTGACATCATTTACTGGCAGCCCCTTTATTAGCATAAAGACAAGGAAATACAGAAATGAATAAATAGAGAAATTAATAAATATAGAAATGAACAGTTACGGAAATAAATGAATAGAAAAACAAAAACGTAAATACAGATATACTAATTTATATAAGATTTAGTAATATATTAATTGTTATGTATATTTATTTTTTAGATTTTACATCATTATTCTTTGCTATTCTACTTCATATATTAATTTACTAAGTCATTTATTTTTAATTTTATTTATTTTTCATTTAGCCAAATCTGGTCCTCCATAGTGCTCATACTGGCTCTTAAAATGATGGTAGACACCGAAACATAGGACCAATTCTACAAGGCAACTTCTGACTCGCACATGAGTTACTGAGTGAGTAGACAAAACTAAACAACATGTCAGCGGTGTTGACTGACATGGAACACTACAAATGCCTATATTAAAATTTATAACAAGTATTTTTTGACAATAGTAGTGCAATGAAAAAAAAGTGGTTGAATTTACATGATTCAGAAGAGCATACTGGTTACACATATCTGAAATATGTTAAATCAATTTAATATAATTGATTACCTACAGTAATTATGTTGATGTAACATTTTATTCATGCAGAGCCAATGTACACATTTGAATCATGTAAATTTAAACCAACCTTTCAGCACCCTTTTTTTCAGTGTAGGTGATATACGAGTTTGAATTCTTTAAGGTATTCATTTCACTAGCAAAAAGCCATATAACACAACGTACAAACAGTGTAAAACACACTAACAGGAGTGTCTTACCAGAACTGTTGAGCCAGGCTTGATTCAGTGTAGGTCAGTATGCCAAGAGACAGCCCAATCAATACTGAAGCAAGGTTAGTTGCTGAGGCTGTTTGAAGGCTGAGACGTGTGGAAAAGAGCAGAGGACACCGGTTAAAATCAGCAATACTGGTCTTATTCACCTGATGCAGTCTGAATAAACACTGCATTGCTTCAGACAGCTAGACAGCCAGGGTGATCATTTATTCACAAAAATAAATGTAACTGAGAGCATGCAAGCTAGCTAATACCAATCAGCAACCAATAAACTAATACAATAGTCAATGAATAAAGTCTTAGCTAACGCTAAAAACCCAAAACTTCTGGTGACATACAGCTAACGTTTGCTAAGAAACATGAGAACATTACTGCACAGCACACCAGCTAAAGTTAGCAGATGTAACGTTAGCTAACGTTAGCTATTAGCTAGCTGATCAGTTATTAGTCAAGGAAATGTTGGCCAAACGTGTGGATTTTTCTTTACCAAGTGTTCAAATTGGTAAACAATAAGTTAACAATAAAAATAACACTAACTAGTTATTAATCTATAAATAGTACACGTTTACAAGTACAAGGCTACTAACTTTAGCTAGCTAACGTGGCTAGCTAGCTATTTTTTCCCCCAAATAGGCTGTAATATGAGTCTGCTAGCCTAGCGTTACCTCGAAAATGAACTGCCGGAGATGTTAAGGATAGCTTTAAAAACAAGAAAAACACGTTTCAGGCAGTGCTGATCATTTAGATACCTAAAAGTTATATGTTTATATAAATAAAATTGCAAGCAGTACTCACCAAAGACGACTGAAAACCGTTAGCAGTGGGCGACCGTTAAACCGAAGAAGTTCAAATTTCAAATGGAACATCTCCTCCGTGCAAGATGCGGCTGTGAATCAGTGCATACGTCACAGTGAATCGACTCGCGAAACCGAAACCGAATTGGAGCCGGGCCGAATACGCTAAACGGAGGTTACTGTGACACGGATCTGCCGTAGGAAAAGCGGATCCGGAACGGAGTCCGCTGCTATCTGGGTCGTTTGAATTTCCCGGTCAACCTTAAATAGTGCAGCAGTTACAACCGTGCAAGGTTTACCGTTTCAGGCTCCATTCTGGAGTCTCGGGGGTTCATATGAAGACACAGGATGACCGCAGAGCTGTAACCTGTAGCGCTGGACTGAGACAGGAAGAGGCGGAGAAAACTTTACGTGTCCGCGCATGCGCAGTGAGGGCACTACAACGTTATCAGTACATAAATAGTGACGCGCTACAGGGCAGAAGACACGCACAGACAGAGAGCTGGGACATCTGACCCCCACGGAGAGCCGCGCTCTCACACGCACAGGTCTGCTGGGAAGAACCCGCTTAGAAGGGGAAACTGACCCACAGGCCGCACTGCAGACCCCAATGAGTGGACACTTCAGCTCCACTCGGCTGAACTAAAGGGCCGACATCATGGGAGAGCACGGAGCCCCTAAAGCGACATGGGGCTATTTTTCAATGAGGCGTGTTCCCGTGGCCACGACTTAATGTATTGAGTCCACAGGTTAAGTTTCTCCTAAGATTAATATCGTGAGGCCACAAGTTAATACATTGAGGCTAAACTTTTATGGCGACAAATGAATATATTGAGGCCACGAGTTAAGTTTCTCTTGGCCACAAATTAGTATACTGAGGCCACAAGTTAAGTTTCTCCTGGCCACAAATAAACTGAGGCCGCAAGTCAATACACTGATGCTTCGTGTTAACTTTCTCATAGCCACAAATGAATATATTGAGGCCACAAGTTAAGTTTCTCCTGGTCACAAACATATTGAGGCCACAAGTAATAGAATAACACTACATGTTTAGTGTCTCATGTCCACAAATGAATATATTGAGGCCACAAGTTAATACACTGACGCTACGCAATAGCATTTCTCATGGCCATAAATTTATATATTGAGGCCACAAGTTAAGTTTCTCCTGGAACTGATATATTGAGGCCACAAGTTAATACATTAAGGCTACACGTTAAGCTTTTCATGGCCACTAGTTAAGTTTCTTCTGGTCACAAATGTATTGAGGCCATGAGTAATACACTGGCTCTACGCATCAAGTTTCTCATGGCCACATATTAACATATTAAGGCAACGAGTTAAGTTTCTTCTGGCCTCAATATATTAATTTGTGGCCACACCTTGTTAAAAAATATCACCTTGACACTGAAACAAAGAAAAAAGTCTTATTTATCAAATGAAATTTTACTAGCAAGTAGAGGCCTTTTTCTTATCTAAGTCGATGCTTATAGAAAACGTACCTGGTCTGGCTTACAGACTGTATTTGGGCTTTGTGTTCAGCAGACATAACTTATTCTGTACTTCAGGCACTCCAGGTGCCTCCCACAGCGCCAACTAGTGGATTTATTCCACTGTAGTCTATGCAACCTGTAGCTCCCACACGTCAGGCTAGCTCAGGGGTCTTCAACACGCGGCTCTTTTACTGCCCTGGTGTGGCTCCACAGCAGAATTAGACTTGCAGGTAAAAATAAAATAATCCTCCTTTACAGTAAAATAAAGCTCTGCTGATCGTTCAACACAGTTTAACAATAAACGGTCTTAAACTCTGGAGTTAATGTAGAACTGCTAATTCACCCTTTAACCCTGAAGGTTGGCGTGCAGACTGCTGGTCACCATAGCAACACAGATAACAATCTCGCCTAGCTAGCAGCTAACGAAACGGCAAAGAGAACGATTTAAGACGGACGTCAATGATTTGAAGACGAATGGACTTATTTGCATTTATAATCACTCCAGCTGGTTTCCTGATACGTTAAATCTGCAGTGAGAAACTGTCAAACACTAAAGTCACAAAGCTGAAGTCGCTTCTCATTCACCAGCTTGTTGTTGCGATTTTCCCGTTCCACCTTAAATGGTGCAGCAATACATTCTGGTGCCTCAGGCAGCATTTAAGGTGGAACGCGAAAATCAGAACAAGCGGGTGAATGAGACGCGACTTCAGCCTCGTAAAAAAACGAACGTTGAGACATTTTACAAGAAACTTTTCTACTTTTGCAGAAAAGTTTCCTGCCAGAGATGCGAGAAAAGTGACTATAGCTGAGCCAAAGCTTAAAGCAGAGCAAAGTAAGTCTGTTTTCATTTATCTTTTTTAGCCTATACTACAGGGAGATTCACTTGAAAGAGGCCCCGAATATTCTGTAATGACTCTATCTAGGACGAAGCAATCTGAACTAAACAACGTGCAATGAGCTCCTCAATGTATGGAGCTTCGAACAAGCCGGGATGCCCCTGCGTCGGACCGATGAGGTAGACGCCGGACAGCTATCGCGGCGTTTAACCTCCGTTTGCAACTTCCGGGTGCAGACCCCCGTACCCCTTCACTCAGTCAACTCAACTCATCAGGATGGCGGTGTACAGTATTGAGCAGCATGTCTTCATGGTGCGAACCTATTGGGTCACCAATTCGTTTAAGCAACGTCAGAGTGAATTTATTGATCCCATCTCAGGGCCGTCCGAAAATGTAATCGATTACACATACGTCAAGTTATGTAGCATATTTTTTTTGGTTCAGGTTGCTTCATCCTAACAGGAGTTGCAACAGAATATTTGGGGCCTCTTTCGAGTGAATCTCGAAGCACATACTGAGACACATTTACAGCCAAGATGGTAAAATGGATATAAAATATTGTGGCTTCCAAGCTGGTTTGATTTGTGTTGAAAGGACAAAATGGCTCTTCTTAACCCCTGGACTACAACAACAATCTGTGGTTGGTCATTTTGCATGTCCCCTTCTGGTCAAAGTAGGCTTTGCTTCTGTCCAGAAACCTTACAGACTTTCTGGTAACGGCCAGCGCTGTTTACGCGACGATCTCACACAAGCATTTCTACATCCAAGATGCAGTAATTCAAAAACAGATGATACAGAAGTGGATTTGATCTGTTGCACACAGTTTATTTAACAATATGGTATATAAGTAAGAAATAAGTTTTTTAACCAGTTTATACAGTGATTCCATTCTCTCTTCCTTATATTTATAGTATTTTGCTTAATAACTTGCATGATTTACATTAAGAGGAAAAGTGGAGCCCCGGTTCAAGTTTGTGTGTGAGAGGAATGAGGGTCGATAGCAGAACTCGAGCGTTCCGAAAAGCAGTCAACCAGTGATCGCTCATTCCAAACCCACTCAGCTCAGGGGCCTCCCTCCCTCTCACTTTATACTTATAGATCTGTATCACAAAATTAGGACAAAAAGCAACAATTTTCTACATCTGCAAGACAGAAATTCTGGATCCAGGCCATTGAGATGTTGTCCGTGTTTGCACATCCTCTTGGGGTTGTTGCCATATTGTGTTTGACATGTTTGCGTGTGTGTCTTCTGGTGTGTTTGTGTGTGTGTGTATGCCCAGTTCCTATCAACACAAACAAATAGTTCTCCTCATAAAGACTTCACAATGAGGAAAGGGGGTTTCCTCCAAAATGCATGTCTGAAAACAAAACAAAAAAAACGGTACAACACTAGAATACAATCGCCAGGAAAGATGAGAGCAGAGAAAACCTTGCCCAAATCCCCAGACAAATTATTTTACAGTTTTTAAACACAAAATGTCTTAAAGTTAGACAGGATACAAAATAAAAAGGTATGAATATTATAATGAACTTTTGTAATTCTTTAAAAGACCATGAAACCATATCGCACAAAAGGAAAAAAAAAACCTGAAAACAAAGACATAAGATTTAAAACAAAACAATGACCACATTTGGTCTGAACCAAAAAATATATTCTTTGTGATTTAAATTTCTTTTTTTTAAACAGCAATTTTCTAATCCCTCAACGCAAAGGAAGAAATATCAGTCTTGCTTTAGGAAACATCAACATTCCTGGTATTGTTTTTGTTTTTTTTTTTATTTCTTTTCTTTTTTTTCCTCTTACATTTCTTGGAACTTTTTACATGTCAGTACAAAAAAATCTTTATAGAGGAAAAGGGTGGGAAACAAAAAAAGGGGGACAAAGGTAAAAAGGAAGTGGGGGAGGAGGGGAGTGGGAGTCTTGCAGAAAACGCTACAACCCCTCCACAAATTTCTCCAGCGTGTCTCCCGTGGTATCGCCCACCATGCCTAAGTCACTGGGCAGCCCCCCACGGTTGGGGGGGTTAAGCTGCGGGAGCATGGCGCTCTGCTCTGGCGTGCCCATGTGTCCCTGCTCCATAGAGCCAGGCATGGGGGCAGCATGGCCAGGGTGGGGCGATCCAGCATGGGGCGGGGCGGGAGCGTGCTGGGGTGAGGGTTGTGGCTGGACCTGGGGGCTGGGGCTGGAATGGGGTGGCGGTTGTTGGGACGGCGGCCGGGGTGACTGCACGGGGGCTGGCGAACGCACTTGGTTGCTGAGTGTGTTGGGCATGGGCTGGCCAGCCAAGTGTGGGCCCTGGGGTTGACCCGCCAGAAGATGAGCCTGTGGGCTCATGGGGCCAGGCTGAGCAGGAGAACCCATCTGCGTCTTGAGGACGGCCTGCTGCTGTTGTTGCTGCTGCTGTTGCTGGAGCATGCGCTGATGCAAAAGGTTCTGCGTGCTGCTGTCCATGCCCAGCCCAGGCTGCCCCATTTGGGCCATGGGAGGCAGCTGACCAATGGGCCCGCCAGCCCCTTGCATGGCCAACTGCTGCTGCATCCGAAGCTGCGAGTAGCTGGCTGCAGCACCCTGCGTCTGGGTGAACTGGCCGTGCGCTTGGGGCATCACACCCTGCTGCTGCTGTTGTTGTTGTTGTTGCTGCTGCTGCTGCTGCTGCTGGCGCAAGAGCTGTCGGCGGTACAATTCCTGTAGCTGAGGGGTGGGGTGTGCTGGGTTCATGAGCTGACCTGGTCCAAGAGCTGCCATGCCTTGTGTTGTTGGCTGCTGAGGCTGTTGAGGGGGCATGCCAGGCCTCGGGACACCCTGCATGGCCGCCATAGCTTGCATCGCTGGCTGCATACCTTGCTGTTGCTGCTGCTGCTGTTGTTGCTGCTGCTGTTGGGGCTGGTTGGCGTGGTACTTTGCCGTTCTCTGTTTGATGAAGGCGGCCATGAGCTGTGGGTTGGACTTAAGAATATTGAGGACTTGCTGCTGCTGCTGGGGGGAGCTGGGTGACTTCAACGTGCGCAGTAGATCCTGCAGGGCATTCGGGGCGATTGCTCCAGGTCTCTGAGGTGCTGGTGCACGCTG